AGGGCTCTACGCAAGTGGCACACCCCTTCACACGCTGAGTCTCCGAGCGAAACGCCACCATCCCAGCAACACTCTCGCTCTCTTGCGTTCTCCCTATTTCATTATGCAAAGCGTATTACAGCTGGCGATCTTGCGATTGCTCATGACGAGCGATTCACCGACTACATGAGGAAAGCAGCAGCCCCTCTCGTGTTTGCAGCCAAGCAGCTTCGTCGTTTTCTCATTGCACCACATGCCTTTGCCGACGCAGTCATGAGCTTCTTATTAAGAAGCAAGGCAACCTTATCCAAGATTCTACACGACGACAGGAATTGGTTCCTTGAGAAAATGGCCGACCAAATAAATATGTCTGTCGACGCCCGCATGCCCAAGGCCCAATGGAACCATGTCAATACTTTGCTCGCAGCTGGGGGGAGAAAGAAGGGGGCTTCACGCGTTCAGGACGCACTACCGATGATGGTAGCCCCCCCCCCCACCCAGGGAGAGATTGCAGAAGCCCAGCGCACGGGCTCAGTTGCGCCTGATCGTTTACTGACGTCTCAGGCCGATGTCGCTCAGCACATGCAAGCCCATTTTCAGGCCGTGGAGTTGGGTCGTGCTGCCACCCTTGAAGAGGTGGTCCAATGCATCAACAGGTTACCAGCTCTCCTGCGAGTGGAGGACGACCGAGAGCCCAGGGTTCTCCCATCAGTGGTGGACATAGAGCATGTCATACGGCACATCAGGGTAGGCAAGTCCCCTGGCCCTGATGGGGTTCCTCCTGATTTGCTACGTGCTGCCCCCCGTGCTCTCGCCTCCGCCCTGCGCCCACTGCTTGCCAAGATTGCCATTGCTGCTAGGGAACCCATTGTTTTTAAGATGGGGGAGGTCACCTTCTTCTACAAAGGCTCGGGACCCCCACAGGTTGCCAAGGTTCAGCGCAATATTACTATGGCTAGCACTATTTGCAAACTATATCACCGACATATACGGTCTCTTGCCCTAGATTTCTTTGCCATGTGCTTGCTTGATGAGCAGTGCGGAGGGGTTGCTCACAAAGGCCCTAAAATGGCCGTGCACGGCCTGCATTTAGCAAGCATTGCTGCACACAAGCGCAAGTTTTCGACCCTCATCCTCTCCCTGGACTTGGTTGACGCATTTTACAGCGTCATCAAACAGTTCGCGTTGTCACTGCCGGGCGAGGAAGAAAAATTGGAGGACGCCTTACAGCAAGTTCAGCTTCCCCCCATCTTGCTAGAGGGTGCCAAGGTCATGCTGGCAGCCAGCAAGCCATTGGAAGCACATGTCCCGTCTGCTCACCTGTTGGCACTCATTCAGGAGTCCCAGAGAGGCACGTTTTGGCAAGTTCGCAATGCCCAAGGTTATGTCCTCCCAGGGGGGGGCACCAGGCCGGGGGCTATCTTAGCTACCGATTTTTTCAATCTGGTTTTCAGGTCCGTCCTACTAAAAATCCGTGAGGCCATCGGTGAGCTGTCGGCCTCAGTGAGGGACGTCTTTGACCAGCCAGAACCATTCTGCTCGTCTCAAAGTGATTGGGACAATGTTCAGCCTGATCTCTCTTTCGTTGATGACCTCACAGTCACTTTGTTTGTTAAAAGGGCAAAGGACATGCCCACAGTGGCGTTGGCCCTTGCTGAGGCAGTGTACGTATCCTGCCTATCTTTAGGGCTTCGCCCCAATGCCGCCAAGACCAAGTTACTTGTGTTTGTGCGTGGCGTGGGGTCCCGCGGGGTCCCTGGATTTTCTTTCGGGGTCGCGGAGGTCGAGTCAGTGCGCTGGGGTTTTGCCTTCCCTATCGTCCAGGTTCACAAGGTCCTGGGGGTTCAAATCGCTGCATCTGGCAGCATGGCCCCTGAAGTCACCGCCCGCTGTGCCAAGGCCCGCGCCGCCCTCAGGCCCATCAAGGCCACCATTGGCCCGAGAGAGGGCCTCTCACTACGCTCTAAAGTGCTTTATGCTGAGGCTTTATCCTCGTCGGTCCTGCATTATGCAGTGGCCATTTGGCCTACCATCACTGTTGCCCAGGCTAGACATATGTGCACGGCGCACATGGCGGTATACCGAGCGGCGTTGAATCTTTCAAGCACCAACAACGCCAATGATCACGCTCTTTCTGCTCAGGTCTTGTTTGACACTCAGAGATTTCCGCAAGCCGTTGTCATGACCATTGCGAGGCTCCGTTATCTTGCGCGCATGCTCACCCATGCCCCCCCACTCATTAGGGTCCTAGTAGATATAACATGGGATGATCCACGAGGGTGGGCACACCAGCTACAGGCGGATTCTGATTGGCTTTTGTTCCACACTGACCCAGCCCGCCGCCCTACCGACACCACATCGCAGGGACTAGTCCGATTTGCTCTGGATAATCCCCGTGCCTACCGTTCTCTCATTAGCTCAGCCATTAGTCATGCTAAGCCACATACACAGGACGACATGCACAGAGTTATATGGGAGAGAGAGCTCCGAACTACAGCTCAAGGAACCCCCCTTTGCGACGCACCCCCATCGGTCCCACTCCTCAAGTGCCCCCATTGTGTTCATACCACAGCTAGTGAGCAGGCCCTTTTGGCACACATGGGGAAATTTCACAAAACGCCAGAGGCCCCGACGGCCATTGCAGTAGGTTCTGTTTGCCAGATATGCCTGAAACAGTTCAGTGATGTAGCAAGACTCACCCAGCATCTTCGTAATGCCCCCACACGTCGCGTGTCTTGGAGCAGGTCAGGCTACGCAGCAGGTCCAGCTCACCAAGACGAGCTGGCACAGGCACGCGAAGAAGCTCGCCGAGTTTCAGCCGACAACCGATCGAAGGGGAGGCCGGCCAACTTTGCGTCATCCCCCCCCGTCCAGCTCGAGGGACCGCCAGTTGGACCTCGCATCGCTGTCTCGCGCAGGCAGGCCAAGCTTGAGGCCCCAGTTCTTCAGGTCCTCCCTCCCCCTCCGCCGCCTGACCCTTCCGCTTTCTCTCCTCGGCCCCTGCCCATTCGGCCAGTCAAGTATATCCTGCACCTGTTCTCAGGATTCAGGCGAGAGCGAGATTTCCAGTGGCATTTAGAAGCTTTGATAAAGGACCTGCCCACTAACGTTATTGTGCTTAGTATTGACGTTGCTAACCATGCAATGCACGGCGATCTCACTGCTCCTGCCACCGTACATTTGTGGTCCTTAATGTTGCGATCGGGGCGTGTTGCTGGAATTCTCGCTGGCCCCCCGTGCGAGACATGGCCCTCGGCTCGTCACCTGCCCGTCCCCGAGGACGCCCCTGGAGGGAGGAAGCCACCCCGCCCCCTACGCTCCGCCCAGCATTTATGGGGGCTAGGCCACCTCAATGCCAGAGAGCGCGAGCAGGTGCGGCTCGGAAACATTCTCCTACGCACCACCATCCGTTTTCTCTACGAGGCCTGGACGTTTGGGATCCCCGCTTTGATGGAGCACCCCTCCCTTAACACCCGTGTCCCTGAGGCTCCCAGCTCCTGGCTGCTTCCCCAACTTCGCAGACTTGAGGGGCTCCCAGGGGTTAAGGCTCACCACATTCATCAGTGCATGTTCGGGGGCCAGGGGCTGAAACCCACTACGCTCCTCGCGGTTCATGTTCCTGCTATGGGGGCCATCCTGGAGGCCAAGATAGGCCGTGGTAGGTGCATACATGCGAGGCCACATAGGGGGTTCTGGGGGGTAGGCAATGATGGACTCTGGCGCACTGCTCACCTCAAGACCTACCCGAGTCGCCTGTGCCTGTTCTTGGCTGCCAGCTTCCTAGAGGAGACTCGCTCTAGGTTCCCCGAACTGTGCCAGGGCCCTGGACACCCTCCTCCCTCGTCCCCTGCTGCTGTCAGGCCACCACTCGCGTGGACCCTCAACGACGAACGAGCGTTAAGGGCGTTGGTGGACCTTGGCGATTCTTGTGACGGGTGGAGTGTGCCGGCAGGGTTACGACAGTTCTCGGCACCGTGGGACCCTTACTTGGTACAGGGCATCAGTATGGATTGTATGTTGCATCGGACGGCCACGGATCCCGACTTGTGACGTGCACCGGCCCTCCCTCTTCTTTCCCTGTGTTGTGTTTATGTTTATTATTTGTTATTTATTGTTGAGTTGCAGAGCTGCTTGCCTTATGCCAGCAGCGTTGTGTTTTCAGTGAAGGGCTCTACGTGAAGGAATGCCGAGCCCAACCACAGGCTCCGCAGGGTGCGCCGCCCTCTCGGCAGTAACGATAGAGCATGCTCGGCGTTATCGCCCAGCTTCGCCACAGGCAGTAACTGGTTTCATTCCGTGGGGGAAGGCTCTCCTTATCCATCTCTATATTTCTTCCCCTTTTCCCTTACTTATGTGTCCATCAGCTTTAAGTGATAGTACCCCTGCTTGCACTTGCAGGTGCAGGCTGCGCCAAGAGCGCCAGGCAGTTCAGTCCACCTTCGCGGTTGCTGTTGCTGCCTGCTGTCATTCTTCACCCAGCGGTCTTCTCGCCTTATCTCTCACCATCATTGGCTTCGACTCTCCGCCATTCGACCGAACCGAACCGAGGAGGAGGAGGAGGAGGAGGAGGGGGAGGGGGAGGGGGAGGGGGAGGAGAAGGAGGGGAGGGAGGAGGAGGAGGAGGAGGAGGAGGAGGAGGAGGACGAGGAGGAGGAGGAGGAGGAGGAGGAGGAGGAGGAGGAGAGAGCCCAGGACGAGCCTCTCGGCACATGCCATACCAGGCCTATGTCTGGCGCTCCCGCTGCCGCACTGCCGTGGCCAGCTCGATGATCCTCAGGACGTGTCTCAGCCCAACGTGTCCCGCACGTAGCCCGACTGGGGTCTGCACCTTCTTCGGCTTGCTTACGCCCGATGACTTCTAATTTTAACTTGCTCAGCTCCACCGATAGATCATTACATCGCCTGCGTCGTACCGAAGGACTTCGATGGACAAACACACGTTGGCGCACACGTTCTGCGGACCATCGAACAGTGCTGCGCTCTGCGGCTGCTTGGTGGCTCGAGCCCCTCCCTCTGCCGCGCCGGGAGAGGGTGTGGAGGCGGGCGCCGGCGCGGCATGTCTGCCCTGGCCGCGCCGGCCCCACGCGTCTTCGAGGACAGCATCCGCGCGTCCGCGCTGATGCCCACGGTGCACCACATGACCAGCCCGCAAGCGTACAGCAGGTCGCCGAGCCGCCGCGCGCTGCAGTCGCCACAGGACGCCGGCCAGGGTTCATTTCGATCCGATCGATCCGATTCGGTGCCGACCCTAGCCGGCTCGACCCAATTCGATTCCGCTGTTCCGGCGATCCGATGCGACCCGATGCTTGCATGGCGCGTTGTGCATCTTGGAGCGGCCGAGCCTTTTCAAGTCGATCCGCTTTCCCGACTCGATGTTGATTGATTTTGCCGGCTGTGCAATCGAGTGCACGCCAGCGCCGAGCGTGGTTGGGCTTCCGCAGGCCTTGGGCCCAGGGCGGGTGCGCGGGGCATTGTTAACCCGCAGGGGCGTGAGGATGATCCCGCTTCGCGGACTTGAGCACTAACTTTGAGCCTTGGGGGCAGGGCATGTCTACGATCGGTTTCTGGCACGCCGCCTGCCTGGCTCATTGGCCTTCGTCAAAGCGCGATAGGAGCCGCAGTGGCGGTCTAACTAGCTCTGCAGGACTCTATTGGAGGCCGCGGCAGGGGCGAATGTCTAGTTCGGGCGTGTTTACGTGTATTCGTTTTCGAGCGTGGCCGAGTACATGGGCGAGTTCAGCCCCAGGCTACGTGCAATGGTGGCCCCTGGGCTGTTGGCCCGTGCTTCAGCTCCCGAATCTGGCGGAGCTGGGCAGGACATCCCCGGCTGCCGTGGAATTTCGGTGTTGGTGGCTAGTTCCCCTTGAACACCCCTTGGACGTGGGAGCCCTTACGAGGACTAGGTCACCCCCAGGGGCGCGAATGTAACCGCACGTCGCGGCCTTGGCCGCTGGGATATCCTTGTGCCCGGGGCGGCGAGAGGGCGCGAGGATGATCGCGCGCCGCCATCGCTGGGCGCAATGAGCGAAGTTAGGTGACTTAGGAAAAGGAAGCAGGTTATGGCTATCACACTCCTCCTCCTGCTCCTCCTCCTCCTGCTCCTCCTCCTCCTCCTCCTCCTCCTCCTCATCATCATCATCCCCTTCTCCGCCTCGCCCTCCGCCCGAGGGCGAATCCGAGAACCTGCGCTCGTGCCAGGACCACTTCGAGGTCGTGATATCGGCCGAGAAGATGCAGCGGCGCGCGGCGCTGGCCGATATCACATCGAAGATCGAGGCCACGGGCTTCCTCCTCCTCCTCCTCTTCCTCCTCCTCCTCCTCCTCCTCCTCTTCCGCCTCTCCTCCCCCTCCTCCTCAACCTTCTCCTCCATCACGGGCGTTTTCGGCTTTTCGTTGACAGCTCGAGTTGGGTTATGGCGCCTCCTCTTCTGCCTCCTCCTCCTCTTCCTCCTCCCCACCTCCTCCTCCTCCTGCTTCTCCTCCTCCTCCTCATCCTGCTCCGGCTCCTCCTCCTCCTGCTCAGCAGAATCTGCATCGCGGCGTACCGCTCGGCTCGCTATATGTTTATGACTGGCCGCATCGCGGGACCGCGATTCGCCTGGAGAGGGATCATCGCGGGTTGCGGGTTTGCGATTTATTTGATCCGTGTGCTCTCGATTGGACCTTCTGATGGGTTCTCTATCCCGTGCACGGTTTCCCTTAGGGCTTACACTGACGATTGCACGTTGTCATTTGTGGGCCCCGAGGGGGCGTCGCCCAGGACTTGAAAGAAGCCACATTCTCCTTCCAAGGGACCATTGAGGGCGATCTAGGTTGTAGGATCGTTGCCAGGAAAACGGCCGTTGTTTCCTCGAGCCCTCGCATCGCCCAGGTGATTCGCAACTAGTTGTTTGGCCTCGCGGGAACTGCTGCCGCCTCAGCCACCACCTTAGGCATTGATGGCACGGCTGGGCAGCCCCGCAGAGTGGGACGTTGAGGTCGCAAAGACAGGGTTCGGAAAACTGTGTTTCGGAAGTAGGTTGTGCAACTTCGGCTCCACCGAGCTGCCCTGGGGAGGCTTTCGAGGAAGATGTGAGGTGTATGGCACCTCCGACCTCGAGCTCGCGGCGCTACGCAGGTCGCTGGGTAAGTTCCTCTCGCTGACTTCGGGGAGACAGATCCCTTGCGGCTGCGCTGCTGTTTGCGTCGGATCCCACCTGGTGGGCGTCTGTTGCCCCCCATCGTGCGTTGGTCTACAGAAATTTGGACAAGCTTTGTGGGGTCCTACGCTTTGGGTCTCTCGTTGTCTGAGCTCCGAAGGGCCCGGCAATCTGTGCTCCAAGCCCCCCCCCCCCCGTGGCGTCTCGTGAGGGGCCCTATCAGTGCCATGCGTCTCTCGGTGAAGCATCTCGGGTGGAGCATGCTTGATTTTTGCACTCTCGTCGATGACAGAGGTGTCAAGGTCTCCCTTACCCTTGTTTCTCCTGCCCTCCTAAAACGTCTTCTGAAGGCTGCAGTCCTCAGGGGCCTTGAAAGAAAATACTGTGAGTCTCTCGGTCTCGGGGCCAGGGCTTGCCTCGATGTCTACCTCGTCGCCATGTCTTCCTCGAAGTTTTCGGCCTGGGAGAAAGGCTGTATCAGAGGTCTCACCTGCCAGGCCCCTTGGACACGCTCTAGGGCCGAGGAGGCGGGGTACCGCCTGTCGGATGTGAGCTGTCCGTTGTGCCACGCCGAGCGCGACACTCTGTTCCATCGCTTGTGGAAGTGCACGGCGGTGGCAAAGGAGCGAGAGAACATCCTCGGTGATTTTGAGTACAACCCTGGCGTGGAGACTGACCTCTCCCAGCACGACAGGATTCTGTACACCTTGGGCATCTTCTCGCACCCAGGTGATTTCTTCCCGCCCCATCAGATCTATTACCACTCGTGCACCATGTGGATGACCCCGGTAACTTGTAAACTAGTATTAATGGTCAAATATGTATGGATGGGTCTTGTATCCGGCATGCTGTGCGTGAGCTCTCTCGGACGGGTTGCGCTTGCGCGTTGTTGTCTGATACTGGATTGGAGTTGGGTCATGTGTACTGTATGCGCCCCTCCCCCCTCCTGTCCCACAGACCGCCCAGGCTGGAGACGTTTGCTGCCTGTACGGCAGCTTGTCAGCACGCCGCTGCCCCGTCTCAGGTGTTTAGTGATTGTCATAATGTTGTTGTAGCGTGGGTTTCTAGTAGAAGCGAACAGCTTTTCCTACCGTAAGGTCCACGCGGGAATGTTTGTTTGGACAGCCGACTCTGCCACGGACCCGATCCACAAAGTGAAAGGGCACATGACAAAAGAGGGTACCACTAATGACCCTTACCTTGCCTGGTGCAAGGCAGGGAGCGATTTAGCCGATCATTATGCCAAGCTCGGTGCCCTGGCCCATGAAAGCCCTACCGCCGAGCAAGAATCCTGGCTCCTTAGAACCCTTTCGGTTTGCCGTAAGGTTATTGCGCTTGTTGCCCGTGTATTCCTTGCTTGGCTTGCGTGTGACTTGTCTGGGGCCACCCGTGATAAGACCGATCCCCCTCATCCGCCATCGGCGCGTGTGCGCCATGAGTGGGCGGACAAGTACTTGGCAGTGCAAGCAATGCTTGAGGGTGTCCAGGTTTGTTTGGCCCCCGAACGGTGTGTGCACTAAGACCCACAAGCTCCTGGGGAATCAGCTCCAGGAATTAGGGCACCATTGCCTATCCCTGCGCTGCTCAGACGGCAGCTCGCTCGTGGTGTGCCCTTCGTGCAGGGCCTTTCCCTCAGGAGGGTACGCCCGTAACCTTCACAAGCCATGCCCTGGGAGGCCCCACAGCATCAAATCAGGGACAATTTATTGGCAGCGCATCACCACCTCGTGCAAGCATCCCAAGCTGGATTCAGTTTGGCTGGACACCGATGCGCTAAGTGTGGCGCGCCTTTTTGTTTGATCGTTGATGGGCCCAGCCTTCTGGCTCCTGCAACGCAAGGCCACGGGGGTATTGCCCCGACGAGCAGCCTGCAGTGTCTATCATGCAGGCTCTTTCCTGGACCTATGTGGCGGGCTCGATCTTGGGCACTGGCCGTACTTTCACTGCTGCACGTATGTCCACCTTTCCCTTTTGTTTACACGACCGCGGGGCGCTGGAAATAATTCCCCCCTGCGGCGACCGTTGCACAGTGGGGCTGCCGAGCTGGTCAGCAGGCTCGACCTGGGGTCTCGAGCCGTCCTTTTCATTGCTGCTCCCGCTTGGCTTTCGTCCGCTTGGCTGCCCGCAGGGTCGAAGGTCTTTCCCTGTGGGCCCAGCGAAGCGGACGCATCGTGTGCTTGCGCCCTTCGGGGCGCGGGGGGGCTCAGGCGTTGAACTCCCCGACTGTGGCTCTTGGGCGGCCCTTTTGCCGACGCGTCGTGGGCATGCTCTCCTGGCCGGGCCATGGGCCTGTCGTGGTGTGGCCTGTGTAGCTCGGTCTGTGCAGGCATCGGCGCCGCCGTCATTTCGTCGGCGGCATGTTGTCTGCAGTCGCCTCCAGGCTGGGTGCTCCCAGCTGTCTTGCGCGCGGCCCTGCCAGCGCGTAGAGGCGGCTTTTGGCCGTGCTCAACGGCCACCTGGTTGCACCCCCAGGCATGAGCGCGCAGCGGCAAAATCCTCCTCCTCCTCCTCCTCAGTTTCCTCCTCCTCCTCCTCCCTCCTCCTCCCTCCTCCCTCATCCCTCCTCCTCCTCCTCCTCCTCCTCCTCCTCATCCTCCTCCTCCTCCTCCACTCGATGATCGTGGCCCGCGGTCGGTCCCCCAGCGTCTGTTGCCCCTGTCTCTCTCGCTCTCTTTTTGTTTGTTTGTTCTCTCTCTCTCTCTCTTTATGCCTCTCTCTTTTTGTTTTTTCTCTCTTTATGCCTCTCTCTTTATGCCTCTCTCTTTGTTTTCTCTCTCTCTCTCTCTCTCTCTTTTGTTTGTTTGTCCTCTCTCTCTCTCGTTCTCTATTCGTCTTTATGCGGGCTGCGCCTGTTCAACGCAACCAGCCTGTTGACCTGAACGTTGCATCTTCCTCGCCCCTTTGCGAAACCGCCTGACCTGTGCCGTTGCTGGGGCACGCGGGGGTCAGCAACGGGGTGGACACTGGTACCAGTTTGTGAAAATACACACTCGGCTCTCCTCTCCTCTGTCCTCCCCCCACACCTCTCCTTTACTCCTTCCCTCCCGCTCCGAGATGGGAAGAGAGCTGAGGAATATTTGGGTTGGAGAGGAGAGGCTGGGAGGGAAAGGGAATGGAGTGATGGGAATGGAGGGAAGGGAGGGAGGGAGGGAGGGAGGGAATCACGGAGAGAGGAAGGGGTGAAGGGAGGGGGAGGGGAGGGTTGGGAAGGAGATGCGGGAGGATAGAAGTGCGGATGGGGGGAGAGTGGCATGTGAAGGTATTGATCCGTCTTCGACATCGCACAAGGGCCAGCGGCAGTTGACCGTTACGCCTAAGTGTGCTCCTCGTGTCTTTCACGGGAGTTATTGATGCTTCGCATTTCCCCACATGCCTTGGCGGCCTTTCGGTCTCTCTTGGGGCGACGATGAAGATGTCCATCCATCAGAGAAGGCGAATACGTACTCAATTACAGCCCCCGAGCCCGTCGGAGCCATCGTGGCCCAAACGCCTCCCAGGCGTGCCTCCGAGAGGCCCAAACCATTTATCACTGATTGAGGGAGGCTCTGAGAGAAGGGCGGTCCTGAACTATGGCCCCCCCGTCGGAGACCGAAAATTGTTACTTGTAACCCTATTGGAGCGCTATTCTTCACGCTTCACGTATGCCCACCAGCCCATTCAGAAACCTTGCCCATGAGAGCTTACGGGAAACGGGACGAAGAGACACACATAGTGAAACACAGCTGGCAACGGGCAACCAGGGTGAACAGAGAGATTTTTGGAGCATGTGGGTGGCCTTGGAGGGTCTCTTCGGGCTATCCCTGGGGCCCGCGTAGAGGCGAAGGAAGGGAGGAGGAGGAGGAGGAGGACGACGACGACGACCACGATGACGAGGAAGAAGAGGAAAAGGAAAGGAAGACGATGAGGGCAAGGGCGAGGACGAGGACGAGGAGGAGGACGAGGAGGAGGAGGAGGAGGAAGAGGACAACGAGGACGACGACGAGGACACGGCCCTCAAAATCGCCTCTTGGAGCCCTCTTGGGGCTCGTTTGGAGGATCTTGGGGTCCTCTTGGGGCTCTTTGGGGGGTTCTTGGAGCCCTCTTGGGGCCCTCTTGGCGCCCTCTTGGGACTCTTTCGGGTGCCTCTTGTGAGCCCTGGAGGGCCTCTTAGGGCCATCGCGGAGGGCGTCGGTGAAAAGAGAGGTGTCTTAACGTCTTGTCCCGCCTCCGGGGCCTTCGTAATCGCCCTCAGAGGCCCTCTTGGGGTCTTGCCGGCCTCTTGGGGCTCTCTTGGGCCATCTCGGGGCCATCTTCAGGCCTCACAAGCGTATCGGAAGCGAACAGGCGAGAATGCACAAATCATTGCTTTTCCTTAAGTATTTGAGCCTCGTGGGGAAGCTTGATGGGGGCTCCCAGAGCACTTGGAGCCCCTGCGGCCCTCGTCGGGCCTCTTGGAGGCATGTCGGAAGCTATCTTGAAGCATCCTCGGCTATCTTGAGCCGCCTTGAAGGCCTTCTTGGAGCATAGGAGGCCCTCTAGGAGCCATTTTGGGCGAAAAAGGACCCTCTGAGGCATCGCGGCCAGCCCCAAAAATCCTCTGGGAGGGACGGTGGAGGGTGCCCCTCCCCGAAGGGAAGAAGGTTTTTGGAAGAGGAAAGGAAAATATCGCTAGACCACCTCAGCCCAGCGGGCTGGTGTGATCTTCTAGGAGCAATTACTCTAGCAGTCTGCCGCCGGCGTGCCGTGCTCGCGTGGCGCGCCGTGCCTCGATGCCAGACTGCGACAGATGTGCCGTACAGCGGAGGCCCATGCCAGTGGATCTCCCAGGGGCACCCCCAGGGGCGCGGAGATATACGCGCTTCGCGTCGCGGTCTGGATCAGAGCGGTCGCCCTTCTCCAAGGAAGGAAGCGTCGCGAGGGCGCGAGGGCACGAAGATAACCGCACGCCGCGCATCGCGGGGCGCGATGCGCGCGGTTACAGTGGAGACCCATGCCAAGAAACACCCTGCTTGCCTCCAGGGTGCCCTGGGTTTCTTGGGTTTCGATGGTTCTGCTGTGGGGAGCGTGACGTTCCCACGCCAAAAGTCCATGGACGTCCTGGGGTCTCAGGGTTGGGTTTCTTGTGGAAGGTTTCTTGTGGTCGGGCCTCCGCTGTACCCTGCCGTGCCTGGGTTCCAGAATTGCGAAGACGTGACGTGCCGTGCCCGCGTGCCGAGCCGTGCCCAGATTCCAGACCGCGACAGGTGTGCCGCAACGTGCCCGCGTGACGTTGCCGTGCCGTGCCGTGCCGTGCCTTATTCGATTTTTCTCGCGGCACGGTCCGCTCCCCGCCAACACGCGCCCCCCCTTACGATGTTGACTCAGCTTGTGTGTGTGTGTGTTTTACGGACGTTGCTGTTTAGGATCTCGCTGCACGGCGTATTGGTTTTGGGCCTCTTGGGGGTATCGCGGGGGGGGGCCTTGCCCATTTTTGAAGCCGTCTGTTGGCGGTCTTGGCACATATTGGAGGCATGTTGAAAGCCATCCTGAGCTGTGTTGTACCATCTTGGACGCGCTCTTGGGGTCATCTTGGACGATCTAACACATCGTCCCCTCAACCTCCAGACCTCCAAGGAGGGAGTACGTGGGAGGGGTTGGGTTCCCAACGGAACGCCACAAGCTGCCTCCGTCACTCCCACCCGCCCTCCCACCGTATAAGTAGCACCCGAGATTCAGCATAGGCAGAGGTCGCCATCGCCATCCGACGGACAGCCATCGGGAACGAATACGGACGCCAGGTGCGATATGATCACGAGGTGCGCCACGCGCACCAGGTGTGCCACGCGTACCAGATGACCCGGGGGCCCACGGGCGCCAGGCGCGCCACGTAACGGCACACATGGGTCAATATGTTGACCCACCACACACCATCCTTTGCAATGACACCCGAGAAAAACCCAATCATCATCTTGTTCGGCTATAGGGCTATAAGGCTATAGGGCTGTAGGGCTATAGGGAAGCTTTGATTGTGGAAAAACCAACTCGAAGTGGCGGCGGGGTGGCAGCACTGCGTACAGTGTGTGCGCCCGCAATAAGTTTGCAGGCGTTCCGATATGGAAAGTTGGCCAGCGCACAGAGGACACTCATGATTACGCCCGACATCCGTGTCAAATGCCAATGCAAAGTGATCTTGGGGTAATCGCTTAGGGCCTAGATTTTGATGCCGCATGCGCACTGCATTGTTTTTGGCAAGGATGGTGGGGCTGCCTGCATGGTTTCTGGTTGGCGGCCAGTCGAGTGGGGGAAGGAGGTGCTTACTAGCGCAGTGGCCAACCCCTCTCCAAAGGGGCAACGTGGGGTTGAAAGAACTACGCACGGCCCTGGACCACCTGCGCCTAGAGGGCTGGTTGGATTCGGAGGGAGAAGATGGGGAGAGATGGACGTAGTGGGGAAGGATGGAGTGGCGGAGGAGGAGGACGAGGAGGAGGATCATGAGGAGAAGGAGGAGGAGGAGGAGGGATAGGTGGAGGAGGAGCAGGAGGAAGGGAGGGAAGGGCCGCGGGAAGAGGTCGCGGTGGGGAGAGGTGGGCAAGGGCAGGGATGGGAGTAGGACGGCGAGAGGGGGATGGGGACGGGACGGGGACGGGACGGTGCGGGACGGGAAGGGGAATGATGTGGAAGGAGGATAATGAACGGACGGAACAACAGCGGTACAAAGTAATTTGTTTCGTTGTCGGGGGCATTTGTCCCAGGGCGGTTGGGAAGTGCACACCCCTACGGCGGCACGTCAGGGTATAAATTTTGCAGCTTATGTACCGCTCTTTGCCCGCTAAGGGAAGAACATCAGGGAAAGGATGGGGAGGATATGAGATGGCATGGGAGTAGAGGGGAGCGCTGAAGGAAGCAGAGAGGGAGGCGGGAAGGAAGACGGAGGGAGATAGGAAGGAGGAAGATGCGAATGAGAAGCGATGAGATTATGGAGCAGGAGGAGGGAGAGGAGGGGGATCGGGGTGAGTGTGTGTGTGAGAGAGAGGGGGAGACTTCTGCCCGCGCGTCAGGGTCAGCAGATCATGGTCGAGGACAGGGCCGTCTTCGAATTGATCTCTCACGACCGCTCCGATCAGCTCATTCGATAGACGGCCCTCCCCCATTGCCCTTCAGCCCTTGTTGGCCCGACCTCGCGTCCAGTCCAGCCGATCTTCGGTGGTTGACCCTCGGCCCGAACTCGATATGCGGCCCTGCTCCCTCTCCACTCCCGTATGGCAGGTTCGCGTACGCCGCCAGCGGCCGAGAAACAACTCAAATGGAACGATCTGGCGAGTGGAAGGCCGCCGATCGTTGATGGTTGAACGATGCATGCGGTGTCAGAAACCAACTTCAAGGCCAAGGCAGGAGGGCCTATGCACCGATCCTGGGCTCTGGATGGGCCTGGCCTGAGTCGATGTATGTGCACAATGTATTTTTCCTCTATGGCTGAGCTGGCGCGTCCAAATTGATTCTGCACGTGCACATATTGTTGCACACGTACTTTACCTATCTGTCGTGGGACCAGGCATTGCGGGACTCCGATCTGATTTAGGAGTTTTCGCCTTTCAAGAGTTCAATGGTTTCCCTCCCTATATACTTTCAACGCTTTCCTACTGCACGGTTCTGCCCACTTCTTCCGAACGATGGGTATCATCTTGTCTTTCTCTTTTATCGTTCCGCCCTTCTCCTTTTCTCCCTTTTCCATGGGGCCATGGCCTCCCCCACCTGGTCTCAGCCAGGCCCGGACGATTGTCCGCCGTGGTGGTTCGTGCCGTTTCGTCACGTCTCTGTCAGCTCTGTTTCACCGCTATGCTTAGGTCGGGCATGCCCCCCACAAAATGTGCTGGCCCAGCCGGGCTTGCGAGACCACGCCCGCTGTAGCGGAACAGGCCCGACCCTCCTCTTGATTGATTGGCCTTCGACTCTCGAGCTGCCTCGCTTTCGAATTCCGACGTCCCATCGGCGGCGAGCCCAGGGGGGAGGTGAGAGGGGGCAGGCCTTCTCAGAAGGCGGCAGGGTTTCTTAGAAGCACGCGCGCCTTCTGAGAGGCCTCCCGCGGCTTTTGGAAGGAGGCCTGCACTTTTTCTCAGAAGGCGCAAGGACTTTCGAGAAGCTCCGCCGCCTTCTCTGAGGAGGCTTACCCTCTCTCACTTCCCACCGGGGCTCGCCGCCGATCCCAGGTCACCCGCAGGGATGCGAAGCTGACCGCGCTCCGCGGTCTGGGGTTCTTCTGGAGCGGCAGAAGTGGCCCTGTCCCAAGGTGGGCGACGGAAGAAAACGGAGTCGATTGCGCCGACATTGGCGGGCAAATTGCCCGCGTAAGGTCGTGGCGTGCCGCGCTGGCGGCCCGGGTAAGCGGCGGCGTAAGGTCGCTATGCCATCTCGCGTAGAGCGCTTTCGTTTCATCGCCCAGGTGACCTTAGGTTGTCTGGGTCACACTCAGGGGCGCGAAGATCACCGCGCTTCGCGCGTCGCGGTCTGGGTCAGACCGGTTGCCCTGCTACGAGGAAGGGTGCGGTGCCTGGGCACGAGAGCGCGAAGATAACCGCGCGTCGCGCATCGCGGGGCGCGATGCGTGAACTTTGGTGACCTGGATTGTCCAGGGAGTACCAGAAGGCCTCCAGAGTAACTCACGAGGCCCAGAGGGCCCCCGTGGTTCCAAACTGGCGCGAAAAGTTTGGATATTGGGCCAGGCCCTCTCTGGCAACCGAGAAGTTGTACCCAGCACCTGGCCCGACTCGGCTCGATCAAGTGGCCCTGGAGGAGACGTCCAAGCGGCAGGCCCAGCTGGAGGTCACCGTTGCCACCCTGAGGGCTGAGATCCGGCAGCTCGCCCAATGGCGTGACGCGGGCGGGGACGCCGAAGCGGCGCAGAGGGACCAGGCCATAGGGCCCAAGGCTTGCTGCTGCGCCCCCACCCCTCCGTCCCCCCTGCTATCCTTTTCCGTTCCTCTTCCCCGCTTTCTTCCCCCCGTCCTGTCGCTGTCGCTGGTTGCGGATTCGTCCGGTGTCCGACGCCACCGAGCCCCTCAAACCCGGTCAAACGCCAGGGGGTTCGAATTGATTGTTATTGTTCATGTCCAGGTAAAGCACCTGACACGCAGGGAGGTAAGAAGGGATTGACGCTCTCGGCTTAGTGCTGGCCGCATTCTTGATAGGGTGGCGCTCGCGCTTCAACTGGGTACACCACAGGATGCGCATTTCCAACCCACGTTGGTGTTTACACTTCAGCGGCGACTGCAATTTCGCCTAGAGGTGACCTCTCGCGCCAGCCACACTGCCACACAGAGTCCTGCTCCCGAGCTAGCGCAAGCTATTCTCAAGCGTCATAAGGGGGTATTCTCTGCTTGTGGCGTTCACAAGGTGCACGACCACGGGATTTTATCGAAGACGACTACGGCGAATCACCGCCGCCCCCTGTCTTATGAACGCGTATGCATGACCGAACGGTGCGGCCAGAGCTCGGCCAAGTTATCGGACTATGTGCTCCCCCAGCCGTTGTAGAAACCCTTCGGGGAACACATGGGGAAACAAGAAGAAGCGGAGGAGAGGTATGAAACAGAAAGAGGAAAACTTCTTTGGGAGCCTTTTGGGGGGCACTCTTGAAGCCTCATAGAGCTTCCTGGGGGCCTCTTGGTGGCCTCTTGGGGGCTTCCTTAGGCCTCTTGGGAGCCTGTGAAGGCTCCTTGGGAGGCTCGTTGGCTGTCTGAGGGCGTTCCTCCTGGCCCGTCCGATGCCGTCGGAGGCCGTCTTGGGGGCCGTCTCTGGGCCCTCTTGGGGCGCTTCAGGACTGTCTTGGAGGCCATCTTGGGCGTCCTGGCGGTCTCCGGGGCGGGAGTCATCTCGGAGGCCTTTTGAGCGCTTTGGGGGCCATCTTGGTGGCCTCTGGGGCCGTCGTTGACCGTCGGAAAGCCGAAACTAGCAAACGCCGAAGTCCGGGGGAAACATGCGGGAGAAAATCCATGATCTAGGCCTCTTCGGACCTTCCTGGGGGTCATATTGGAGGCTTCTTGGGCCGTCGTGGAGGCCTCTTGGGCCGTCTTGGGCGATTTTGAGACCATCTTGGGGGCATCTCAGTCCATCTTGGAGAAATCTGTCTTGGCTGTCCTGGAGGCCATCTGGGGGCCGTCTGGAGCGGGAAGGCCGATGGCCCGGGAAGTTTACGGGCCCGCATGGGGCGGGAAGACCAACGGAGTGCACGCTTTCTGGGTGGCTGGCGCGATCGGCCGAGATCCCATTTCGGGAGCCTTGAGCAAAGGCTCCCACGAGGGCGCGAAGTTGTTCGCGCTTCGCGGTCCTCGTTCCTTCTCCCCCTCCTCCTCGTCCTCCTTTTCTCCCTTTGGGGGGGCGGCGCGAGAGCGCGAAGCGCGAAATTGGGAGCCCTAGGATCCCATTTCGGGAGCCTTGAGACGGGGCCAGCCAGAGCGGCGGGTCTTGCAGTATCCTGCAGGGCCAGGGTCGCATTGACCCGGGTTTGGGCGCAGGATCTTGCAGGACCTTGCAGGATCCTTCGCATTGACCCGGGCTTTGGTTCAGGATCTCGCAGCATCTTGCAGGATTCTGTAAGGCCTGACTGCCCCGGGTCTGGATCGACCCGGGTCAGAAGATCCCCGACCCATTGGGCAATTTTAGAAGAGACTTAACCTTTCACAAGTTTGGCACGCCGAGCGCCCCTGCGGAAAGCCACGGGTCGGCGGACTTTGGCTTTCGGTTCATCCCGCCACCGTGATTGGGTCGTGGACTATGAGGCTTCTTCTGTATGCGTATGAGGTTTCTTGGGATGCCTCTCAGAGGATGCTGGGATGGTTTTCGGGAGCCCTTTTCAGGGCCTCTAGGAGGTCCCTTGGAGGCCTTGGTGGGGGGACCAGGGTTTTCCCAAACCAAACGGGTCTTCCCAAACCAAATGTTGCGGAATCAGACCCCCGAGTCGTCCCAAACTAAACTTGGGTCTTCCCAAACCAAACGGGTCTTCCCAAACCGACGCCCCCGTGTCTTCCCAAACCAAGCGGGTCTTCCCAAACCAACGTGCCGGGTCTTCCCAAACCAACCGGATCTTCCCAAACCAACCCCCGGGTCTTCCCAAACCAACCGGGTCTTCGCAAACCAAACGGGCCTCCTCAAATTAGCGTTCTCGGTCTTCTACAACTGAGGGTGTTTTCAAATCTTTATAGAACCCGAAGGGTAGGCCTACCCTAGGCCTACCCCTGGGCCTAAACCCTAGGTTCACCTTAGGCCTACCCCTAGGCCTACCCCCTAAGGCCTACCCCAGGCCTGCCCCTAGGCCTCCCCCCTACCCGCCCGTCACGGTACTCGCGTGTCAACTCGATCATGTACTACACTTTAATGTCCCGCCCGCCCGACCCGACCCGCTTGCTTGGGTCCGCCCGCCCGGCCTGACCCGACCCGACCGTTAAGGTCCGCCCGACCCGACCCGACCCGCCGTTAGGGTTCTCGCGCATGAGCTCGATCATGCACCACACTTCAATGTCCCGCCCGCCCGACCCGACCCGACCCACCCGTTGAGGTCCGCCCGCCCGACCCGACCCGACCCGCCCGTTATGGTCCGCCCGCCCGACCCGACCCGACTCGACCCGCCCGTTAGGGTACTCGCGTTAATGTCCCGCCCGCCCGACCCGACCTGCTTGTTAGGGTCCGCCGTTCGACCCGACCCGACCCGCCCGATTAGGCCGCCCGCCCGACCCGACCCGACGACCGCCCGTTTGGGCACTCGCGTGTGAACTCGATCATGCACCATACTTTAATGTCCCGCCTGCCCGACCCGACCCGACCCGCCCGTTAGGGTCCGCCCGCCCGACCCAATCCGACCCGCCTGTTAGGGGCCCCCCCGCTTGACCCGACCCGACCCGCCCGTTAGGGCTTTCGCGTGTGAGCTCAATCATGCACCACGCTGTAATGTCGCGCCCGCCCGACCCGACCCGCTCGTTAGGGCACTCGCGCGTGAACTGGATCGTGCATCACATTTTAATGTCCCGCCCGCCCGACCCGACCCGCCTGTTAGGGCCAGCCCGCCCGACCCGACCCCGACCCGCCCGACCCGACCCGACCCGCCCGTTAGGGTTCTCGCGTGTGAATTCGCACTTCATATCCCCCGCCCGACCCGACCCGCCCGTTAGGGCCCGCCCGCCCGACCCGACCCGACTCGCCCTTCGCCCGACCCGACCCGCCCGTTAGGGTCCGTCCGCCCTACCCGACCCGACCCGCTTGTTAGGGTCCGCCCGCCCGACCCGACCCGACCTGCCCGTTAGGGCATTCGCGCGTGAGCTCGATCATTCACCACATTTAATGTCCCGCCCGCCCGACCCGACCCGCCCGTTAGGGTCCGCCCGCCCGACCCGACCCGACCCGCCCGCTAGGGTATTCGCGCGTGAATTCGACCATGCACCACACCCCGCCCGCCCGACCCGACCCGCCTGTTAGGGTCCCGCCCGAACTCGATACCCGACCCGACCGTTGATAGACCCGACCCGACCCGCCCGTTAGGGTTCTCGCGTGCGAACTCGATCATGCACCACACTTTCATGTCCCGCCCGCCCGACCCGACCCGCCCGTTAGGGCTCGCCCGCCCGACCGACCCCACCCGCCAGTTAGGGTCCACCCGCCCGTTCAGGTACTCGCGCGTGAGCTCGATCATGCACCATACTTTAATGTCCACCCCGCCCGACACGACCCGCCCGTTAGGGTCCGCCCGCCCGACCCGACCTGACGCGACCCCCGCTCTTTTGGGCACTCGCGTGTCAACTCGACCACGCGCACTTTAATGTCCCGCCCGCCCGACCCGAGCAGCCGGTTACTGGTCCGCCCGCCCGACCCGACCCGACCCGCCTGTTAGGGGTCCCCCCGCCCGACCCGACCCGACCCGCCCGTTAGGGTTCTCGCGTGTGAACTCGATAATGCTCTGCACTGTACTGTCCCCCCCGCCCGACCCGACCCGCCCGTTAGGGCTTGCCCGCCCGACCCGACCCGACCCGCTTGTTAGGGTCCGCGCGCCGGCCCGACCCGACCCGCCCGTTAGGGCACTCGCGCGTGAATTCGATCGCGCACCAATGTTTAATGTCCCGCCCGACCGTCCCGACCCGCCCGATATGGTCCGCCCGCCCGACCCGACCCGACCCGCCCGATATGGTCCGCCCGCCCGACCCGACCCGACCCGCCCGATCGGGCCCGCCCCCCCCCGACCCGACCCGCCGTCAGGGCTTTCGCGTGTGAGCTCGATCATGCACCACACTTTAATGTCCCGCCCCCGACCCGACCCCCCCGTTAGGGTCCGCCCGCCCGACCCGACCCGACCCGCCCGTTGGGGTCCGCCCGCCCGACCCGACCCGACCCGCCCGTTAGGGTACCCGCGTGTGAACTCGATAATGTCCCGCCCGCCCGACCCGACCCGCCCGTTAGGGTCCGCCCGCCCGACCCGACCCGACCCGTCTGTTAGGGGTCCCCCCCCCCCCGACCCGACCCGACCGCCCGTTAGGGGGCTCCCGCGTGCGAACTCAATCATGCACCACACTTTAATGTCCCGCCCGCCCGACCCGACCCGCCCGTTAGGGTCCGCCCGCCCGACCCGACCCGACCTGCCCGTCGCCAGCGACGTCGTCCTCCTCTTCCTCCTGCTGTTTCCGCTCTCGTTTCCGGCCGCGTTCTCGCCTTCCTTTCGCCTTTATTTCCGCTCTCGTTCTCGCCTTCGTTCTCGCCTTCGTTCTCGCTTTCGTTTCGCCTTTATTGCCACCTCGTTATCGCATTTGGTCTCGTCTTCGTTTCGCTTTCGTTCGTGTTATCGTTTTCGTTCTCGCCTTCCTTTTGGTTTCGTTCCGCTGTCGTTTCCGACAGCATTCTCGATTTCGTTTTCGCCTTTGCCTCCCTTTCGTGACTCTGCGGGTGCATTCGCTTCCCGGGTCGCGCGGAACGTGGCAGATTACGCAGGAGCACGACTGAGCACGCAGGCGCACGGCTGGCCAAACATATTCGCGACCGACCAAGCAGAAACACGACTGACGATGCAGGGGCACGCAGGAACACGGTTGATCAAGAAGGAACAGAGCAGAACACAAAGCAGCATGGCAGAGCATAGAGGACCACCGCAGACCACGCAGCAGCACGGCAGAGCATGCGGGAGCACGGCAGACCGCCAGGAGAACGGCAGACCAAACCAACCGGGCCTGCCCAAACCAAACGGGTCTTCCTAAACCACCCGGGTCTTCCCAAACCAAACGGGCCCTTCCGAACCACCTGGGTTTTCCCAAACCACAACGGCTGGGTCTTCCCAAACCAACCGGGTCTTCCCAAACCAAACGGGCCTTCCCAAACCACCCGGGGCTTCCCAAACCACAGCGGCCGGGTCTTCTCAAACCGAACGGGTCTTCCCAAACCACCACGGGTCTTTCCAAACCACAACGGCCGGGTCTTCCCAAACACCAGGTCTTCCCAAACCAAACGGGTCTTCCCAAACCGAAGCCCGGGTTTTCCCAAACCGAAGGTCTGGGTCTTCCCATACCAACCGGGTGTCTTCCCGAACCACGAGAGCACGCCCGGCTTTCCCAAACCACCACGGGTCTCCCCAAACCACCACGGGTCTTCCCAAACCAAACGGCCGGGTCTTCCCAAACCAAACGGATCTTCCCAAATCACAACGGCCGGGTCTTCCCAAACCAGCCAGGTGTCTTCCCAAACCACAACGGCCGGGTCTTCCCAAACCAACCGGGTCTTGCCAGACCACCCACACTTTCCCAAACCAACCGCGTCTTCCCAAACCAACCGCGTCTTTCCGAACCACAAGGCCCGGGTCTTCCCAAACCAACCGGGTCTTCCCAAACCAATTGGGTCTTCCCAAACCAAATCGGGTCTTCCCAAACCAAGACCTGGGTCACCCAAACCAACGTTTGGTTTGGGAAGACCCGTTTGGTTTGGGAAAGACGCCCTTCCATTGGTGGGCCTCTTCGGAACCTGCTGGCTGTCCCGGGGGTGCCCTTGGGGCGCAGCGCAGTTCGTGTGACCCCTCTTGGGCCGTTTTGGGGGCAGTTTTGCAAGCCTCTCCAGTAGCTTTGGGGCACTCTTGGGTTGTCTTGGGGCTCTCTGGGTTTTCTCGGGCCGTCTTGGGGCGATCTGTGGGGCCTCTTGGCCTCTTGATGCGAGAACGCCAAAAACGAAAACCGAAGGAGAATCGCTAATGCTTGCCCTGTAAGGCTCCCTTGGGGGCCATCCTTGGGGGATCCTCTCGGGCCCTTCATGGGGGCGTTTTGAGCGCCTATTGGATCGTCTTGAGGTCATCTGAAGCCGTACTGGCGTCTCTTGGGCCGTCTCGGGCGGCTCGTTGTCTGAGGGGGGGGGCTCCTGGGACCCTGTTAGCTAGTCTTGGGAACTTGTGGCCTCGGGGAAGCCAGACGACAAGCCCCAAGGGGTCTGCGACAGCACGCTGGAACACCTGGGATATCCGCGAGTTCGGTAGCCTCGCCCGAGCAAAAGTCACTGACACTAGTCCATGTTGAGGCGTGAGGGCTCTTGAGGACCTGGACACTCCCCTCAGTGCCTCGCGGCACGGTGGCGGATACGGGAGCGTCCCGGAGACCAAGGGCTCCCACGAGGGCGCGAAGTTATTCGCGCTTCGCGGTCCTCGTTCCTTCTCCCCCTCCTCCTCGTCCTCCTTTTCTCCCTTTGGGGGGGCGGCGCGAGAGCCCAAGTTATTCGCGCTTCGCGGAGCGCGAAGCGCGAAGTTGGGAGCCCTAGGAGACCGATTGTGCGGAATTCTACGTAGCGTCTTTGCGGGAGGCGATGGGCGGCGTGTTTGCGGCGGTTCTGCTTTCCCTCCCCTTAACTGTCCGCACTCCCTCATTCCCCTCCCGTTCCACCCATCGATCCAGGACTCCGCGAGATTTCTGTTCTGGTCTGTTCTCCACTTCGTTTCCACTGGCGAAATTATTCCCCGCCCCTTACTTGGTGTGCTGCTGCCGCTGCATGGAGGAGTCGGGACCGTCCATCAGAGCGTAAGTTTCGGTGCCAATTCCACAGAGGTCCAGATTTCCAAGCCCCCCCCTCTCGCACTCCCCTTCGCCCTCTCCCTTCCCCTCGCCCTCGGATCCACTATATCCGACGTTCGTCCTGTTGAAGACATGACGGATCCTCGGGGTGAGGGACATTCGCCGCCTTGGTGTGGCCAGTTTGGCCTCTGGACTCTGCGCAGGAGCAGAGGCAAGACCTGGCGGAGCTGGCGAACTCGGTCCAAGCCCTGCACGAGGAGATGGCATCGTTCCGCGACCAGGCCCAATGCCAGGCGGCCCTGGCCGAGGATCGGGGGCGGCCAAGAGGGGGGTGGTGACTAGGGGTGGGTGAGTATCATGGCGGGGGCCATGATATCTCCCCAGATTTCATGGCGCATTTTCTTATTTCATACGTCTCTGGCCTCCCCGCTAGGGCCGCGCACATGCTGCCGGCCATGATTTGCGCCCCCCCTCTTGGGTGCCCCCCCTCTTTGCCGCCCCCGACGAGGAGACCAGCACCAAGCAGATCGAGACGGTAGCGAGCGTCATGGAGCTCGGTCAGGGCCTCCAGGAGATCGCCCAGACGGTCGTGGCGACCGAGCAGAAATTGCGGCGAGAGATCGAGGACATGCCCGGGAGGGCGGCGCGGTGCTGGCGGTCTTGCTGCTTCACTCTTCCCACGGCATGTTTCCTGCTCCATTTCATTCTCACTTCCTATCCGCATTGCCCACGCGCTGGTTCCAAGCTCACCTCGGTGAGCAAGTATTGGCATGAGCATGAACTTTCGGAGGTCCGTGCGGATTTCTCGGATCGGTGCCGAAGGCGCCGCCGGGGGGCCCCAGCGCCGATCCGAGACATCCGCGCCGACCTCTGAAAGTTCATGTGTATACGGTAGGTTTGCGTCGTGTCGACCAGCGGCGACCCCAGCGCGGGCGTTCAAGGTCGAACGCCGCGGGCGACCCAGAATCGGTCGATGTTGAACGATTGGACGTTGCGGAAATGGCCGATCAATCAAGGTTGAACGATCCCCGCGGTGTCAGGAACCAACGCCAGGGTCGACATGGCACGGACCTGCCGTATCATTGTCTGTTCGCCGAGAAGAGTTTGGAACAAACGCATGACAATGCGGATAGGAAATGAGAGTGAACAGGAGCAGGAAGCATGCCGCAGTTTACCTGTCGTCACTCGCAGTTCCCATCCTCTTGGCAGCCCCCCTCGGCATGAGAGAGGCGGACGGGGCATCTCATCGCGCGAGCTCCTCGGCCCCGCGAGGAGGCCGCCGTGACCCTCGAGGCCTCCGCCCGCGAGGAGGCAGCGAACACGAGCAACCAGATCCTCGAGGCGCTGCAGCAGTCAGCATGGCGGTGGAGGAGGAGGAGGAGGAGGAGGAGAAGATCTGTACATATCCACCGCCGCTGGCCAGGCCCATCCTGGGCCTGGGAGCAGAGGCGGTCTATATGCCTCCCTGGCCAAGCCAGGGGGCGTGGATGGGCCAAGAACGGGCCCAGAATGGGCCTGGCCAGCGGCGGTGGAAATGTATGAAATAGCGCGTTCTGTGGTCGCTTGGAGGGGGGGGGGGTTGGAACCAGACCCCCCCCCTCCCGTGACGGAGGGGGGGGTTCAAGCCCCCCCCGCCCCTGCTTCCCCTCTCCTCGGGCCGGCGCTTGCGGCGGCGGCGGCTGGCGACGGCGGCGGGGACGACGACTTCCATTCCCGGGCCAGCGCCGGCCGGCGCCTGCGGCGGCGGGCGGCGGTGGCTGGGAGCGTCGACGAGGACGGGGACGGTGGTGGTGGTGGTGGTGGTGGTGGTGGTGGTGGTGGTGGTGGTGGTGGTGGTGGTGGTGGTGGTGGGTGGTGGTGGTGGTGGTGGTGGTGGTGGTGGTGGTGGTGGTGGTGTGGTGGTGGTGGTGGTGGTGGTGGTGGTGGTGGTGGTGGTGTGGTTATTGTGTGGTGGTTGTGGCGGTGGGTGGTGTGGTGGTGGGTGGTGGTGTGGTGGTGGTGGTGGTGGTGGTGGTGGTGGTGGTGGTTGTGGTGGTGGTGTGGTGGTTTGGAGGTGGTGTGGTGGTGGTTTGTGGTGGTGGTGGTGGCTGTGGTTATGGCGGTGGTTTGTGGAAGAGGTGGTGGTGGTGGTGGTGGTGGTGGTGGTGGCGGTGGTGGTGGTGGTGGTGGTGTGGTGGTTTGTGGTGGTGGTGGGTGTGCTGCTGGTAGTGGTGGTGGTTGTGGCGGTGGTGGTGGTGGTGGTGGTGGTGTGGTAGATTGTGGTGGTGGTGGTAATGGTGGTGGGTTTTTGTGGTGGTGGTGGTGGTGGTGGTGGTGGTGGTGGTGGTGGTTGTGGTGATGGTGAGTTGTGGTGGTGGTGGTTGTGGTGGTGTTGCGGTGGGTTGAGGCGGTGGTTTGTGGTGGTTGTGGTGGTGGTGGGTTGTGGTGGTGGCGGTGGTTTGTGGACGTTTGTTGTGGTGGTGGTGGTAATGGTGGTGCGGTGGTTTGTGGTGGTGGCGGTGGGTTGTGCTCCTGGTAGTGGTTGTGGCGGTGGTGGTGGTGGTGTGGTAGATTGTGGTGGTGGTGGTGATGGTGGTGGGTTTTTGTGGTGGTGGTGGTGGTGGTGGTGGTGGTGGTGGTGGTGGTGATGATGAGTTGTGGCCGTGGTTGTGGTGGTGGTGGCTGTGGTGGTGGCTGTGGTTGTGTGGTGCTGTTGGTGGCGGTGGTGGCGGTGGGTTGAGGCGGTGGTGGTTGGTGGTGGTGGTAGTGGTGGTAATCGTGGCTGTGTCCCCGCCGTCGCCGGCGCCAGCGCCGGCGCTGCTGGCCGCCGCCAACGCCGGCGCCGGCGCAAGGGAGGGGGGGGGAGAGGGAGGGGGAACCCCCTTGAGCTGCCTCTGGTCTCCGTCGCTGCGTCCCCGCCGTGGGCGCTGCTGGCGGCCGCCAGCGCCAGCGCCGGCGCCGGCGCCGATGGGGCGGGGGGTGGTGGGGGATGGGGGGGGGGTTCGGGAGGGGGAATTTGAATTGCGACCTGATTCGCCCTGGACAGCGGTCAGATAGTGTTGGCACTCAGCTAGCTTCATACACACGAGCAGTCGAGAGCATTGAAGCACGGGCGCCAAGGAGAGTACGCGTTCACGGCCCAGCCCCCCAATGCCCATCCCACCCCCAACGACCACACCTAGAGGTATGATAGCTTGGCGCCGTGCGTGTCAAAGTAGAACAGGCTCCGACCCCAGACGGGCGAAGTACATGTCAAGCATCTCCATTCCCGCCCACCAACAGACCCATCCCCGACCTTATCGCTAGCCGCACAGGCTACGCCATTAACGGTGCACGAGCGTGGGTACATAGAGGGGAGGATCATATACGCAGGAGAGAGAGAGGATTGAGAAGGACATCGTCTCTCAGCGGGTCCGCTGCTGGCACCTTCGCGTCAGAAGGCTGGCGGGGCACGGTATTCGCACTCTCGGCCAAGCCTCCCGCACCTGAGCACCATCAGAGAGACGGTCCTGACAAACATTCCACGACGTCCGCACAACGTGGGCATGCAAAGCAGTGACAGCAGGCAGCAGCACCCCTTCCCTGCTACCCCAATCTCTGCTGCTCGCCGCGGACATGGGAGGGCGCGGAGGTGGAGGCTGAGAGGAATACATGAAGGTGATACTCCATGGTCCCGAGGGGATACACGCTCCGTCGCATTTAAGCCATCGTGGGCACCCGCAGGGCTCTACGAGTCTACCCCCTCGGGAAATAGTGCGCATATGTGGCATCCTGACATCCGCCTCTCCGCATGCCTTCTGCGGACAACACTTCGCCAGCTCGGCATGGCGGGGCACACTATTCATACTATCGAGCCTCGGCCCGCGCGTGGGGTCAAGCATGTGACGCCATAAGACAAATCGACCTCCCCCTCCCACGCCATAACCCTACTCCAGCCCCGCTACTCCTTACTGCCGCTCGCAACACACATGCGATGCAAGAAACAGGATGAGAGGGAAGGATGATGATGGAAGGGACCATGGGAGTCACACTGACCTCAAGAGGGGACACCTCGTGGCCAGCAATGCTCACCAGGCTCGCGGGGGACGCCCGCGGAAACTCCCGCGCACGTCGTCGACACGTGCGGACATCCACATCCAATACTTCCGTCGCTGCACTGAACTATGAATCGACGATCAATGCATGCTGACAAATGCGCAACAACATTATGCAGCGGTGCATGGAAGAACAATGACGATGCAAGAAAAGACGAGGCAATTCGTACTCTTCTTTTTACTCTGAGGCAAAAATTGCAAGAGAACATTTCGCGGCAGGCCTGGACGCGACATCCACGAGCCTGCTGCAATACAGAAGTGGATTGCACGGCAAGACAGCACTGCACAAATGAGCTTGCAACACATGCGGAGGTGACGCGCGCTGGGCAAGAGCCAGCACCGCTGGCAGCGTTCACCTCCGCAGGGAGACTCACCACCCTTGTGAAAACACGTCTTCCCCATGTCCGTCATGTGGTCGTCTGGGGATTCGATCCCTCTCAACATCTGAACTGCGGGCTGCCTCATCTCGTCCCTTTGGCAACGGGCGCTCTTCTCCAGGAACCACACGCAGCTCCACCCTGCTTGACGTCGGTGGTGACGGTGCCGCCCCACCGGACGCCATGGCTGCCACGATGGTCGGCTGCCCTGGGCATGCAATGCCCCTTGCCCTCATGGCGCGGCGCTCCTCCTCGGCGGCCTCTGCGCGGCGCTCGGCAGCTGCCCGCATGGCACGGCGGCATGCGATGTCTCTAGCCCGCATGGCGCGGCGCTCCTCCTCGGCGGCGTCTGCACGGCGCTCGGCAGCTGCCTTGGCGCGGGCCGATCGGGCAGCCTTCTTGGCCTTCCAGTCGTTGGCAGCAACATCATCACCAGCATCACCGTCACCGTCGCCGTGTCCCTGAGAACGGCCACGATGTGGCCCAGGGACGGCCGGTCGACCTTTAAAAATCCTGATGGGGGGTGGGAGGAGAGGACGACGACGGAAGGCGAGGATAGGGCGCCGTCCGGAAAGCACCTGGGCTCGGAGGAAGAGGGGAGGGAGGGGGACGGAGAAGAGAGGCAGGGAGAGGGGAGAGAGAAGAGGGGGGAAGAAAGGGAGGGAGGGAGGGGGGGGAAAGAGGGGGAGGGGGGAGAAGGGAGAAGGGCAAAGGGGAAAAGGGCAGGGGGAACGGGGCGGAACCTGGAAAGAGTCGGGAAGCCCAATGGTGATTGGAAGGGGGGTGCCCCTGCGGACTGGGTGGCAGAGCGGGGGGAGAGCAGTCGAGGGTCCAGCACCGCCACGACTGGCCCAGAGGACCCTTCCAGAGGGCTCTCCCGCCCTCGCAATTGGGATGTACACAGCATGGGACAACACCACCATTCCTCCGTCCTCCCACCACCCACCCGCCCTTCCCTGCCCACACTCACACACACTCGATCACACATAACAATAGGAGACTCCGTGCAGATCACACAAGGGTGGGCACAACAAGAACAAGAAAGCACGATCTGTCCTGCGAATTCATGGCTCCATGCACGGCCCATGGCTCGACTACCCGCCCCCGTCGGGCCCTGTATCCGGGGACGGGCCTGTGGGGTGACCCCTTAGTCAGCCATCGCGTCGCCGGCATTGCCGGCCGCGGCGGCCCCGCCGCCTGCTCCACCCGCCCCGCCCGCGTCCGCTCCGGCCGCTGCCCCGGGTGCTACACCCGCCGCCGGGGCTGCACCCGCCGCCGGGGCTGCCCCACCAGGTGCCGCAGCTGCCTTGGCGGCCGCCCTGCCTTTCTTCCCCTTCTTGCCCTTGCCCTTGCCTTTGCCGCCGCCGCCTCGGCCCTGAAGCACCCCCTGGGCTCCCTTGCCGCCCTTGCTGCCCTTTGCGCCTTTGGCCTGCCCCTGGGCTTGCCCCTTGCCGCCACCCTTCCACTGGCGCTCTTCCTCGGTCCTCTCGTTGTAGAGGAGCCGCCTCGGCGGCTGGGCGGCCCCGTCCTGAAGCGTAGGCTGGCCGGCGACGGAGAGACCCGAAGCGCGGCGCAACGGGTGGTCTAAGCCGTCAATTATCTGTTCCATGCCCAGCGAGGAGGCACCGAACTTAACCTTCAGCTTGAACACGTTCGGAATCCGCACCTTGGTGCTGCGGTCGTAGTCCCACCGATACTGCTCAATGACCTTCTGAAGCACTCCTGGCTTACTCAATTCCTCGCAGAGGAAGCGAACCGCCTGCTGGGTGGACCCGGGCTGGTCCGACGCTCGGTCCGGCAAGGGCCAGCTAAGCCCCAGGTGCGCCCCCAGGTCCCGGCCAACTGCCTCCGGTGTCAGGTTGCGCAACTCACGGTACTCTCCCTGGTTCCC